GGGGAGTGGGGCGGAGCGGGCGGAGTATCGGGTTGGGGGAGCCTCAGGTCTGGGGGTACCTGGAGGGGCAGAGGTGGTGCAGAGGGCGGTCAAGAGCCGTGTTGGGACGTGGGGTGCTGCCCGGGCTGGCGGCGTGTGTGATGAAGAACGGGAGCCCGCGGTGCGGGAGCCAGGGGTGCGGGCGACAGCGAGCGTGGTGGGAGGCCAGCTGTAGGGGAATTGGGAAGAATGCTGATCAGTATTTGTCAGAGGGATGAATGTACAAGGAAGCAGAGAGAAGGAGGGAACAAAAAAGGAGATGCAGATAATGTTTGAAAAATCAGAGGAGATGTAAATACAGAAAAGGTAGCATTTTTGCAAAAACAGGTTGTTTTTAAAGGGAGAAGATTGTATTGGGCTTAATAACACCTGGATTGAGGGAGTTTAGAATAATAGTTACCAGAGACTCCAGGATTCTGGGGAATGGGTGGATAAGAGGTAGAGAGGGCTGGGCTTGATGACGAGAGGTGAGAATGGAGTTCTTCCTCTAATGGGAAAAAGATTAGGGAGTCTGGAAAAAGAGATCATAGACTAGGCATTGGGACTGAGAAAATAAACACCACCATGATAATTTGGGGGAGAAAATGGAGAAACAGCAAGGGTTATATTTTCCTTTGAAGATTTGCTGGGACCTTCCCTAGGTTAGGAATTGTGACTTCTTTGTATACTAGTGGTTGTCAAGAACAGGAAATACATGATTCCTGCTGGAGGTCAGAGACCTGTTCTATTTCATCTCCGACCACTCAGCTCTGCTGGTGCTATGATACTGATTGAGCTGGGATAGGGCCTCAAGGAGGCCCCTGGGAGGGAGTGGGAATGGTCCGTAGGAGGTAACTACATAGGTATGCCCATCTCTGTTAACCTAGGAGAACCGGAGCCTAACCATCAAACTTCGGAAACGGAAGCCAGAGAAAAAGGTGGAATGGACGAGTGACACTGTGGACAACGAACACATGGGGCGCCGCTCATCAAAATGTGAGTGATTGCTGGCCCACAGTGACGCTGGAGTTCTCACTCCCGCCCGCATGCCTTCTACCTTCTCACATCCACTGCCATCCTGAAGCCACCAGATGCCCCCAGTCCTGTCACTGCCTTGGTTGTTCTCTGGCATCAGGGAGAGGAGGTTAAAGTTAGAGGGGAAAGAGGTACGGATGGGCTCAAATTGGGATGGGCATGCCAGGGTTTGAAGGGTATCAGGTGAGAGAAGTGCAGCTTTGGATTCCTAGCTCTCTAAAAGGATTAGGGGTTGAGTGTCTGAGTGCCAGGAGGTGAGCCGGGGGAAGCTGGATCCTGGATGGTGTTAGGAGACAATGGTGGAAGGAGGAAGCTGGATCCTGGATAGTGTTAGGAGACAGTGGTGGAAGGAGGAAGCTGGGTCCTGGACGGTGTTAGGAGACAATGGTGGAAGGAGGAAGCTGGATCCTGGATGGTGTTAGCTGGATCCTGGATGGTGTTAGGAGACAATGGTGGAAGGAGGAAGCTGGATCCTGGATGGTGTTAGCTGGATCCTGGACGGTGTTAGGAGACAATGGTGGAAGGAGGAAGCTGGATCCTGGATGGTGTTAGCTGGATCCTGGATGGTGTTAGGAGACAATGGTGGAAGGAGGAAGCTGGATCCTGGATGGTGTTAGCTGGATCCTGGATGGTGTTAGGAGACAATGGTGGAAGGAGGAAGCTGGATCCTGGATGGTGTTAGCTGGATCCTGGATGGTGTTAGGAGACAATGGTGGAAGGAGGAAGCTGGATCCTGGATGGTGTTAGCTGGATCCTGGATGGTGTTAGGAGACAATGGTGGAAGGAGGAAGCTGGATCCTGGATGGTGTTAGCTGGATCCTGGATGGTGTTAGGAGACAATGGTGGAAGGAGGAAGCTGGATCCTGGATGGTGTTAGCTGGATCCTGGATGGTGTTAGGAGACAATGGTGGAAGGAGGAAGCTGGATCCTGGATGGTGTTAGCTGGATCCTGGATGGTGTTAGGAGACAATGGTGGAAGGAGGAAGCTGGATCCTGGATGGTGTTAGCTGGATCCTGGATGGTGTTAGGAGACAATGGTGGAAGGAGGAAGCTGGATCCTGGACAGTAGTAGGAGACAATGGTAGAGGACTTCTTACTGAGGTCCAATGGGAACAGAACTGACCCTACATCTTACTCTTCCTCGTTTTTAACTGGGCTCCTCCTTCCAAATGCAGGCTGCTGTATTTATGAGAAACCTCGGGCCTTTGGTGAGAGCTCTACGGAGAGTGAGGAGGAGGAAGAGGAAGGCTGTGGTCACACACACTGTGTACGAGGCCACCGCAGAGGACGGAGCCGCGCAACCCCAGGACCGAGCCCCACCACCCCTTCCCAGCCCCCTGACCCATCTCAGCCTCCCCCAGGGCCAATGCAGCACTAAATTCCTCTCTCCCCCACCGTTCCTGTGTCTGTCTGGCCCTGACTGTGTTCATGTGGCTACTTGGGGACTAAGCCCGTGGTTTGATCACTCTCAACACCCCCTCCCCCTCCGCCTGAGAGGGACGCAGAGGAGGGTGGACAGAGATCCTGGAATTCTGATTTGCTGCTATTCTATTCTGGGTTGCCCCAGCCCTTGTGGTTTTTCCCCCCCAACACCCATCCTCCTCTTGCCCACAGGTCCAGGCATCTTGGTCCCTCTCTTCCCTTTGTTCCCACTGCCAAACTGCCTGTCCTGGATCCAGTTGTCTTCGCCCCTATACTCTGTACTTGAGTCCCAAACACTTAGATTGGGTTTCCAGCAGCCCAGCTTTCACTGCCAGGGTCCCAGTCAGATGCCAGCTGATCTTGCCCAGCTCTGCCTGCTAACCCTGGCTTAGAGCTCATCCGCTGATGTGCTTATAGGGTCCGAGCTCTTGGTGTGGCTGGGAGCTCTCCCACTGCACTCCTGCCCCCGTCTCTCATGCCCACAAGAGGAGCTGGGGGGGGAGAGAGGTCTTTGTCTTTCTCACCTTCAATGGAAAATGAAAAAAGAAATAGTCATGTCCTCTCTCCTCAACCTCATGAGATCTAGGATTTCTGACACAGCTGGTTTCAAGAGTGGTGGCTTAGAGCCAACTCTCTCCTCAGCCTTCGGTCTCCTAGCTTCAAGACTGATCCATTGTAGTCCCAGGAAGAGGAAGGAAAAGAGAGCAAAGAGATGGGGGAAGGCCCCGACACTCTGCTCTCACCCCTTCCTTCTTAGGCTTTGCTGTCCGCCGGTCCAGATGTCCAGCTCCCTTGGCCCTCCCCATACCTCATGGGGATCTGAATGTCATTTTCCAGGCCTCTTGCCATGCACACTTGCAGACATCAGTCAAATCCATACCACCATGGAGAGCTCATTTATTGCCACAGATGCACAAAATAAATAACACAACGTCACAAAACGTGTTAAATATGGGCCCATTTATACATAGGGGGAAAGGTGAGGCTGCATACAAGGATGCCTTCAGGGTGTCGGGCCATTTCTCGGGTTGAGGAAAGGAGAGGTAGCATGTGCAGGGGGTAGTTTAAAGAAGGTTCTTAATGAGAAAAGACTGAACAGGGGAAGCAGTCACCATGGAGTAGCGCCACCCCCAAAACCCTTGATACTAAGCTTCCTAGAGAACCCTAAGGCTAGAGTCCAGCCTCTTGCTTTTCAAGAGGAGGGTCTTGTTTTGAGAAACCCGAGAACGGACTGGGCAGGAAGGCCCAAGCCTCAGGGCTGTGGGGAAGGCACTGGGCCTTTCTTTGAGACTAGCAGAGGCAGGAGTCAAAGGTAAATATGTGAGGAGCAGGGCCTCTGCGTAGTAAACATGGGCCGTTGGCCAAATCTGATGGGGGGAGGGCCTGTTCCACATCCCGACCTGGAGCAGGGTAAGAGAATGGGGAGACCAGTTGGGAAGTACTGGGGCAGCTGTGGGGAGAAGCTCCCAAGAGGAGGGGGTGGGAATGGACTGGGCTTTGGGAGTGGACTTGGAAACGAGGCCGGTTGAGGTCTCACTACTTGGGAGGAGAGAGTGTAGGTGGGAGGGGGCGCTTGTCAGTACTCCGCTGGGCACGTGGACGCGGTCCCTGGCGGGCGCAGGGAGTGCCAGGCCCAAGAACCAGCCTCGCCGGGCCAGGCTAGAGGAGCTGTGGGCGAGGCGCTCAGCCTTCCGCGGGCACGATGCGCAGCGGGGCGCGAGGGTCTCGCGTGCAGAGCAGTGGGAAGACTCGCTGCCCCAGGGGGCCCGGAGCCTGGAAGGCGAACAGCAGGTCGAGCGAGCGGCCGTCGTAGAAGGCCACGCGGCCCCGCTCCCAGTCCAAGTCCACGCGGATCCTCCGCGGTGGGGGCCCGGCGCCCCCCAGCGGGGTGGGCTCCGGGGCCGTGAGTGCCCACAGGCGGCCGCCTCGGCCCTCCAGGGCCCACACGGAGCCCACGGGGCACAGCCCTACCCGGCCCTTGCGTTTCACAGACTCCCCG